GTAAGCACATAACAGTAACCATTTTTGCCAATTCTTCCCGATCTTTTTTTGGATCATAATATAAGAGAGATTGATGATTTTGTGAGAAAAATGAAAGAATGATGGGGTATTTATAGTTGAAAATAGGAAAAAAGTGTAATTATAAAAACTTTGGGGTTAAAACAAAGTTGGGGGGTTAAATGACTATTTTGTAAATAGCCAACGGATATTTTGGCAGAGGAAACGGCTAGATTTTAAATGCCCAAATGGACAGATTTTGTTTTTAAAAATTATGGCCGTTTAGGACCGCTAGGACCGGTCCGGTCCCGGTCCCAAACGGTCCGGTCTCGCGGGCCTCAGGCTAAGGACCGGCCTACTTGCCAGGCCCACCTCCCCCGGTCCCGGTCTTAAACGGTTCAGCCCGTTTAGGCTCACTACCCACATGGGCCGTGGTCCTGGGTCGGTCCCTTGCCAGCCTTACGCCACGCCCTTGGTTGCAAAGGTTTGAAATTTTGTACTGTTTCAAAAATTCTAATGAAAAAGCTGTGTGCTCACATCTAAATAAAGAATTTAATGATTGTAACTACTTAATGAATTATAATTTGTATTTAACTTAAACATATATGGTGTACAAAAGCTGTTGATTGTCATATTCCATGAAGCTGAATGAAAAGCTTCTCTGACATACCAATTTATGTTTGATACAATGATAATGAAAATTCCATCTATCTCTTCTGGTATATCGGCTATATACGCGAATGTATCTATGCTTTAGTTTCTTAGTTATGTTACACGTTACATGTGTTTTCATGGTACACACTACACAATCGGCAACATTTTCTGATGTTACTCGATCTTTATCCTTCAGGAAGAAACAGTGGAGAAATTTTCAAAAGATGGTGGTGATATATTCGCTGTCTCTTTACCAGATGGATTTGGATAGAACCCTGTTTCTGCTAAGATCATACTTACGAATCCTCTCCAAAAGGTAGCCTTTAAATATACTTTATTTTGGCCTCTTGATATAGGTAAAGCTTAATCTGGGAGGAGCTATATTCATGATGCTGGCATGTTAGTTTACCATCTATTTATAGTTTTAAAAGAGCTCTTTAAGTTATTGAAAATATGTTTAGAAGTAGTGATATTTCTATTTGCATATGATGGAATCTCAGTTCTCTGTATGTGTCTACAGCCTATCCCAATACTCATTTCCTAATGAACATTTGACTACAGATTGAAAACTATGCATTTCACATACAAAAGCTACCGAGTAGTGGAATCGTATATCTTAAGAACAGAAATTTGCTGTCAGGTAAAGATGTTTATCTTCCTATATTACTCTAAATGTGCAGTGAATAGCCAAGTAGAGTATTTGATGTTAATTACCTGTGGTTATAGCCTATAGGTGTATTTTACGACACGGAGCAACATCTAAATTAATCTGTTCTTTAAAAATTACCTCATTGTTTCAAGTCTCATTTGAAGCAATCTTCACTAAGTCTGGCAGATGACGTGGGTAGGATTCCAGTACTCCCTACAACTTGATTGAAATAAATTTTGTTCAGGTCTCTTCTCCAACCACCTTGATATGCATCTGTGTATGCATGATTGGGTTTATCCATCTCCTTGTTGAGCTAAGAGAGTTTCCAGGATCCGTGCCAGAAAAAAACCGAAAAAGCATCTTTATATAATAAAAGATCTAAGTGATTTAAATTGTCTATGAATACGAGGGTGCAACAATTATAAATGCTTTAATAAATGAGCCAAATCTGCAACCTGATTGTGAGTTTAGTAGAAGGCATGAAATTGTTGAGCGACTTTATGCAACATTCTAATTGTCGCTGATGTTCTCCAGTGTACTATTACAATTTGTAAAGTTAGTAGAAATAAAACTACTACACTACAAATCCTATGGGCAAGAAGTTTCATCTTCACTTTCATAATCGTCACCGACTTTCTCTGGTGGTGTTTCATAACCGAAACTTCTTTTCCACTCAGCATGCGCCCAGAGTTTGCTGTTGAAAGGTGTTCAAATTTATTTTTTTACCATCAACATCTCAACATATTTGATGAGGGATGTGCCATAATCAATCCTAAATAGATTTTGAATTTGGGAACTTAATTAAAACAATAACTTTAATAAGAAAAATGTAAAAGTGCATATGAATTATAAAACACAAATGGCAATACTTGTTGTCCACTTTGCCTTTGGCGCTCCTTACCACTGAATATCATATCTGCATTTCTAAATGACCGATGATGTGTTCTAAATAGCGAAACTCAAGTAGGTTGGGAATAATACGCGCATACATCTCAGTGGCAAAGAGCATCAAGACAAAGTGGATCGTGAGTGGTTTTATTTGTTTTTTTATAAGTCATATGCTCTTGTTCATTCTTCTTGTTAAGGATATTGTTTTAATTGAATTCTCAATCTTAATTTTCTTAGGACTGATTATAACACATTCTTCATCTAATATGTTGAGCTGTTGATGATGGGAAAAAATTTGAACACCTTTCAACTTGAGGAAATATAGGACTCTAGGAAAGACCTTGCAACAAACCTCTGGGTGTATGCAGAATGGAAAAAAAGTTCTGGTTATGAAACACCACTAGGAGAAAGTCGATGATGATTATGAAAGTGAAAATAAAACTTTTCGTCCGCAAGAGCTGTAGGGCAGTAGTTTTATGTAATAGGAATACAATAGTGAACATCAGTGACAATTAGAATGTTTCAGGTTTTGTTGGAATTGAGAATTGATCTCACAGGTTGTCACCTTCAACAAGCCTCACCTGTGGTTGAAGCCCCTGTTTTGTGCACTGCCTTCTATTCTCATGTGAGAAATGTGGAAGAGACACAATACAATCAAACATGGAGGCAAGATCTCTTTCAAAAGATTAGTTCGTGAAGTTGCTACCACATTGCATAGATTGCTCATTGTTCGCTATCCTCATTTGGTGAATATCCCTATGAATTGGCCTGAAATAATGCACCATCTTGATGCTTACATTCCTCGAGTTAAATACACAAAAGTTAGCTGAACGCCACTTCCTTCAGGCTGGTACAAGTGTAACGCTGATGAGGCATGTAGCAATAATCCAGGTTTGAGCTTGTTTCAGTTTTATTTTAGAGACTTGGTGGCGGATCTTGTTCATGCGAATGCCAAGATAATTGATGATGGCAAAAATGTTCAAGCGGAGGATATGCCAATTGTGGAAGCTCTGAAATATTGTAGGGATTCTCATTTCACTCCTACAAGTATTGAGACCGTCTCTTTTTGCTATTGAAGAATATCATCGAAGGGAGCTGGGCTACCATGTGGAGTATGGCACTTTTAATTGATGAAATAAATTACATGAAGAGGGACGCACAAATTCAGTTCCAACATACCTTGCGTGAAGGTAACCAGCTAGCGGATTACATTGCTAACTTGGCGTTTGACCTCCAGTCACACGCTAGGCGACTGCTTAATTTGGACAAGCTCACTGTCAATTAATTTGTGCAAGAGTTGTAAGAAGATGATGATATTAGGAGGTCATGCGTTATTTGGTTCCTTTGGGATATTATTCAAGGGGGAATTTCATCAAAGTTTGATGTTTCTGCATTTGGTTTCAACTGGATACATGCTGAGCTTTACACTGCCAATTTGGCCTTTGTTATATAGTTTATCATCTTGTATTTGCATCTTATAAGTTCTAAGTTGCTATTTCGTTATGTACTTTTTGCACGTTCAAACTTTAAAGATCATGTAAGGTATGGTCTAGCCGTTCCTTATTTACTTTTGAGTTTGTAATAAAATTAGCCTAGGCACATTGCCTAGTGGTGTTCATTTAAGAAAAGTATTTAATTATTTGATAAATAACATGATTGTATAAATACATTTTGCGTAAAACTTAAACATAATTAAGTATAGCAAGTGTTGTTATTAGAGATGCGCGCGGTGATCTCATAATAGCGAGGCCAATCCAGCACAATTGCTTAGACTAAAGGTCTACATAATTGTTTCTCATGGTGTTTCAAGAATAAAGTTCAACAACTAATTTTGGAGTTGGACTGTATTTTATTGGTGCAAACGTAATTGTATCGTTCCTGGAATATATTACAGAATAGTGATTGATAAATCATTCCACAAGTGTGATGGGATAGTTGACCCTTAACCAGAATCTTAGTCCTACGAAAATGAATAACTTCTTGGTTAGGAGTATTTTACTTCTTTAGTGGGCCTATCTAGTACGAATCTAGGGGTGATGTGCACAAATAGGTCCATTTAATGCTAATGTTTAGTTTTGATTGTGAAAATAGCACGAGCTAGTCGGTTTTCGTACTGGTAATTGAAAAATAACCAGTATTTTGCTGTAACACGGAAATTTCCAGTATAATATACTGGAGATTGATGCACATGTGTATGAACTTCCAGCATATTATGCTGGAACTCCAACATACGGAAAGTTCCAGCATAATCTACTGGAGATTGGAGCACCCGTGTATGAACTTCCAGCATATAATGCTGGAATATTTTCCGGATTTTGAACAGTGTTTTCGTTCAGATTTATCTTTACATGAAAGATGGCTAAATTTCGATTGTTTTTGAAACTGTGACTAATTTTCAATTACCACTTGTAAATCTGGCTATTTTTGAATTTCTCCCGTTTTGATCTTGTTTAAATAAGTTTTGCAAAAATTACTTGCCGGTCAGTACTAGGATGCAAAATTTTGACGAACTATAACAAGTTATATGGATTGGCAAAACTTGCCTTGTCACAAAGTCCTACCAGATAAGTCTTGATGGACTGTCATAGTTGCAGCATAAACTGTTATAATAAAAATTATTCACTAATCCTAACGGATCAATATAAATTATGATAGACGGGCAAAACTTGCCCTGTCCGGATAAGTCATAACAAATCGTCAATTTTGGTAAAAATTGTTCACCAGTTCTAACGGATCGTCATAACTTGCAATTTCATTAACAAGTTTTTGCTTCAAAATTAATCCATTGTGGTCTAAATCAATTCCAAATTTGATATCTAACCTTCTAATAAAAATCCCAACAATTTATAGTGGTCAGATTCAACTTGAACCTTCAAAAATAAATACTAACACTTTATCTTCATTAATAAGTTTTTTTCCAAACTCAACAAAGCCCAACATTGATGTTCTTTAATTTTTCAACAACCAAACCAATTCAAATTATTTGGAATCGTCAATATAAGTTCAATGGAACATTACTCAGTTAATTCCAATCATAAATAAATAATGAGTCTTCATTTGTACAAAAACATAACTCATTCTTTAAAATGAAGAAGAAAAACGAAGGAGGAGGAAAAGTTCTAACATATGATATATATTTGCAAAACTTTAAAATGGGGACAAAAATTATATGAGTGTCAGGCGGAAGCACACCCTGTCCACTAAGTTGCGAATATCAAATGGTTTAACAAAAAAAACCATAGTAGGATATCGTTGAAATATGACCAATGTATTACTTTCTAAATTTCATTACCAGAAATGCACGCATTTGTGACGATTTTGTGCAAATCCATTAATATGGATGAAATTTGTGATAGACGAATGAATTATTGAATTCTATATTAAGTTTGACGAAGATAAAATTCATGATTTTTTCTACTAGTGAACCCATGTAATGTACTAAGTACACGAAATTGTGTTTCCAAAGAAAAAGGACGGAAAGGGAAGAAAAGTGACCAGCAAATATTTAGTCCATTATACATCATCAGAAGCATGCAAAATCTTTACAAAATACTTAAAAAGTTTTTCCTCGGATTGTGATAAATACTCTAATAACCATATGGTTTACTGTTAAAGATGAATATTAATTTTAGAAAAGATTAGTTAAGAACTACATGATTTCTACAATAAAAAAAGGGAGTTATTGATTTGAAAGAGAAGACAAGAAGAAGAATGGGAAAAGCCAATTACCCCCAAAACCCAAAAAAAGAGCGCAGAACAACCCATGGAATATGTTAACGTGAGGACTGGCACGTTAATTCTTCTGCAGAGAAACTGGTCCAATCAAGGTCCATTCATTTTGCTATCATTGTTCGTTCTTTAAGGTCACTTTGCATAACTTTCAATTAAAATAGCACATAAAGTATATGGTACACACCTACACGACTAGTTTCGTGCACATTATAACTAGGTAAACATAACTGGAAAAATATAATGACAGGACAGATAGCGCACTCCATGCAACAAGAGAGGTTCCCTCGTAAAATTGCACATTGAAGCATCAAATAGAAGCTTCTCCTTCCAAGCGAAGTCTCTTGGCGCTTTTTTCCTCGTCTTGACAGCTTGAACTTGTCACCCTGCTATCTTTGGCCTCCAATGAGCACCTCTTGTAAGGTTTAAATCCAGTACGGCGAGCTTTCAACCTTACTTGTCCAAGTTCCATTATTGGCAGGCATTTTTCAGCATCTTCTTTGTTGCCAATTACTAACACATTATCTTCCACTGCTTGATGACTGGAACACATATCGGATGCCTGATCAATAAGGTCTAACTGCGATCCACTTAGACCTTTCTCGTCTGGCTTTTCCTTAACGTTTTCAAGATTGATTTTTCCCTTATTTTTCAGATCATTTGAAGGAGAAAAGCTTTGAGGCAACTTCTCTCTGGTGAAAAGAGCCTGGAACGCTATCCGTCCCTGTGGAAAAGTTGAGAATCAACAATCATTAAAGCAAGAAATGACACCAAAGGACTTATAAAAACATAAGCTCTCATTACCCCTTCGGAGACTTCTTTCCAAAAATCATTTGGACTGATGCAATTCCTACCACGCCGATTCCCAGCATCTCCAGCTAGAAGGTTAACATTAGGTTCTTGAGGCTCTTCTTTCCCTTTCTCATCCTTCTCCAAAGCATCTGTCTCCAAATCACTACTTGAAGGTGTGTTGGAACCACAGGAAGAACGGTCTACCTGTTTTCTTCCGTTTCCTGTGTTTGGCTCATGAATTTCAGTGACTGCAGCGCCTTGCTCAGTATCATTAGCGGTTAACCCAGTTTTTAGCTTCCTACCTTCACTGTCCTCCGATTCTGACGATGGCGAAGTAGGCAACTCAGAAGCAGAATGATGTTCTTGCAAAGCTTCAGAGCAATCTGGGACGGTTTGTTGAGCATGGGGAGAATTATGAGATCCCTCTCTTCCTTCATTCTTGCCTACACTAGGTTGACAGGGATCCACTTGCATTGATGTTGCAGATGTAGGAACACGGGTAGAACTGCTATGAAATGGCGAACACAATGGTAGGAGCCCATGGGCTGCCCACCATGCAGTTGCAGCTGCTACAGTGGCGGTAGCAATTGCTGCCATACTAGGAGCTGAATTAATCTGGCTTGCAGTGTTACCTGTTGGAGAATCTACTGGAGCTTCCATATTTGCATAAGGCCAAAAGCTAGCTGCAAAACTTGCTGCAGCATGTGCTGCTGGGTTTTGCAATAACGCAGAAAATATAAGGCTGGAGAAAGTGGAGGAGAGTTGAAGAAACGATCGGTAATCATCTGGATCATGAATAGGGGTGAAGTTAGGGTGGAAACAAGGAAATGACTGATGAATGGAAGACATTGCAGCATTACTATGGTGCTCAGATGTGGCAGATGAAGTAGGGTTGGTATACAAATTTGAGAGTCCCTGGACGCCACCTATCTGGTGACTTACAGATTCAGGATAAAACATATCTGGGGTTGTTTGAGCACCACTCACCCCTAAGGCCCCATCAAGAATATGCACTGGGACATGTCTTGGATAGTGGTGTGGCACTTGCATATCATTTCTTGAGAATTTCCCAAAATGATCTGGCTGACTCGGTTGATCTTTTTTCTCATCTTGTGCCAACTTCTCATTCGATTGGCAAGATTTCCCCTCGTTGAAGGTGTTACAAGAGCTGTTACTTTGAAAGGACTGTTTAGCGTCGAGTATATTCAACTTTTGATGCTCTTTGGATCCAACAGTAAGAAAAGATTTAGCTGTTACATCATGGTTAATCACTCCTTTAGTGGCAGGCAAAGACTCATTTAAAGTGCATGATCCTGCAGGTTCTGCAAGTGTTTGCAAAGACTTTCCTGGGGACAGGGAGGGGGCAGAAGCACCTTCCTTGAAAAGAGCGAACCCTTGGGAGCAATTTTTCTTGTTCTGGTTTTCTTGTACACTGCCCAGCTTCTCGTTTCTACCAGGTTTCTGATAAAGAACAAGAAAACAACTATGCCATCAAGGAAAACAAAGTAAAAGCTATGCAAGATGAAGAGAAACACATACCTCAGTAATCGGTTCTTTCTCCAGGTCAAATAAGTTCCTATCCTCACAGATGGAAGAAAAAGGTGTTGATAATTTTCCATCTTTTATTCCCACCTGTGATGAGGGAGCTGCTACGCTGGTCTTACGAGGATAAGGATTACTTGGTTTCCTTTTAGGTCGCGGAGGAGGAATTTCAATGTCAAGTGCTTGACTTATTGGGACTCCCTTTATAACAGCCTCCTTTTCTAACTGGATCAGATTATGAAACCAAAATATCAGCCTACAGACTAGTTCCTTGCCAGAATGGTAATAGGAGAAGTTCAACATGAAAAGAGGAGCAATCAGGATTATTACATCATTGGAATTGCATAGCTGATTCATCAGAAGATTCTATCAAATAAATATCTAAACTACAATCCGTTGGAAAATATAAATCCTTAAAACGTGGTATAGCTGTCAAGGTA